ATCAAATAAAATTAAAAAAAAAAAAAAATTAAAAAAAAGTTAGTTACAAAATCCCACCCCCCTCACCACTTTCAAATAAAATTTAACCCCTTCCCTGCCCTTTGATCATTGCCTGCAGTGATCAAATACAGATCACAGTATTTTACTGTGATCTGAATTTTTTTTTTTTTAATCCTCAGGGGTTAAATGTATTTAATTGAGTTTAAATATTTTAAAATATTTATTTAGCTAGGGTGGTTAGAAGTTAGTGGGGAAATTGGGGGATTTACAGTTAGGCTAGTTAGGGATTAAAAAAAAAAACAATTAAAAGTGAAAAAACTTTTTGAAGTTTAAACAAAGTTTTAAAATAGTAAAATAAGTTGTTAAAAGCTAAATACAACTTTTTAAAAGTTAAAAAAAAAAATTTAAAAAAGGGGGAAAATGCGTATTACCTCTACACTTGGTACAGGCTAGCGAAAAAATGATACCACGCTAAGGTTTCAAATATGCCTTTTGAAACACCCTGCTGTGTCGTTAAGGGGTTAATAAGTTTAAAATTGACATAGGGTTCATTCAGCTTGTTGCAGTACCTATCAGGGCCACTAGCTTGCTGTGGAGCTGTTGTAGGCTTTGCCCTCAGACTGATTCTGCACTCAGCTGGTCCTCCTTGGCTAATCAGCGCAAAATTGTAAGACCAGCCTATCCCCTTGTCTATTGCCAGAGCATAGTTTAGACGTGTGTCCCTAACCACCCTTCATGCCTAGAGACTTCTGAAGCCCTGCAAATCCTTCACAGCTCGGGGAGACACACTAGCTGGCAGCAGAAGACCCAGCGGCCGCCTAACCCAAGGGCTCAACCTGCGGAGGAAGCAGCTGTTAGGGTGAAGACCCAGCTGCTGTGTGAATCTACTCTGTCATTCCAGCACCCTGAGGCCTGCCCACTACCTATATCCTGAGGACTGCCTATTACCTGTACACCGAGGACTGCCCATTACCTGTATCCTGAGGACTGCCCAATATCTGTATACCGAGGACTGCCCAATATCTGTATACTGAGGACTGACCATTACCTATATCCCGAGGACTGCCCACTACCTATATCCTGAGGACTGCCCAATATCTGTATATCGAGTACTGCCCATTACCTGTATCCTGAGGCCTGCCCAATATCTGTATATCGAGGACTGCCCATTACCTGTATCCTGAGGACTGCCCAATATCTGTATATCGAGGACTGCCCATTACCTGTATCCTGAGGCCTGTCCACTACTTGTATCCTGAGGCCTGCCACCTACCTGTGTCCTGAGGCCAACCCACCTACCTGTGTCTTGGGGCTTGCCCACTACCCCTATATGAAGGCCTGCCTACTATCTGTATATGAAGGCCTGTCCACTACCTGTATATTAAGGCCTGCCCACTACCTGTATATGAAGGCCTGCCCACTATCTGTATATGAAGGCCTGTCCACTACCTGTATATTAAGGCCTGCCCACTACCTGTATATTGAGGCCTGCCTACTACCTGTATATTAAGGCCTGCCCACTACCTGTATATTAAGGCCTGCCCACTATCTGTATATTGAGGCCTGCCTACTACCTGTATATTAAGGCCTGCCCACTACCTGTATATTAAGGCCTGCCCACTATCTGTATATGAAGGCCTGCCCACTATCTGTATATGAAGGCCTGCCTACTACCTGTATATTAAGGCCTGCCCACTATCTGTATATGAAGGCCTGTCTACTACCTGTATATTAAGGCCTGCCCACTACCTGTATATGAAGACCTGCCCACTATCTGTATATTGAGGCCTGCCTACTATCTGTATATTAAGGCCTGCCCACTACCTGTATATTAAGGCCTGCCCACTATCTGTATATTGAGGCCTGCCCACTACCTGTATATTAAGGCCTGCCCACTATCTGTATATTGAGGCCTGCCCACTACCTGTATACCGAGGACTGACCATTACCAGTATCCTGAGGACTGCCCAATATCTGTATACCGAGGACTGCCCAATATCTGTATACTGAGGACTGACCATTACCTATATCCTGAGGACTGCCCACTACCTATATCCTGAGGACTGCCCAATATCTGTATATCGAGTACTGCCCATTACCTGTATCCTGAGGCCTGCCAAATATCTGTATATAGAGGACTGCCCATTACCTGTATCCTGAGGACTGCCCAATATCTGTATATCGAGGACTGCCCATTACCTGTATCCTGAGGCCTGTCCACTACTTGTATCCTGAGGCCTGCCACCTACCTGTGTCCTGAGGCCAACCCACCTACCTGTGTCTTGGGGCCTGCCCACTACCCCTATATGAAGGCCTGCCTACTATCTGTATATGAAGGCCTGTCCACTACCTGTATATTAAGGCCTGCCCACTACCTGTATATGAAGGCCTGCCCACTATCTGTATATGAAGGCCTGTCCACTACCTGTATATTAAGGCCTGCCCACTACCTGTATATTGAGGCCTGCCTACTACCTGTATATTAAGGCCTGCCCACTACCTGTATATTAAGGCCTGCCCACTATCTGTATATTAAGGCCTGCCTACTACCTACCTGTATATTAAGGCCTGCCCACTATCTGTATGAAGGCCTGCCCTACTACCTGTATATGAAGGCCTGCCTACTACCTGTATATTAAGGCCTGCCCACTATCTGTATATGAGCAGCCTGCCCATATCTGTATATGAGGCCTGCCTACTACCTGTATATTAAGGCCTGCCCACTATCTGTATATGAAGGCCTGTCTACCTGTATGTTAAGGCCTGCCACACTACCACTGTATATGAGGAACCTGCCCACTATCTGTATATTGAGGCCTGCCTACTATCTGTATATTAAGGCCTGCCCACTACCTGTATATTAAGGCCTGCCCACTATCTGTATATTGAGGCCTGCCCACTACCTGTATATTAAGGCCTGCCCACTATCTGTATATTGAGGCCTGCCCACTACCTGTATACCGAGGACTGACCATTACCTGTATCCTGAGGACTGCCCAATATCTGTATACCGAGGACTGCCCAATATCTGTATACTGAGGACTGACCATTACCTATATCCTGAGGACTGCCCACTACCTATATCCTGAGGACTGCCCAATATCTGTATATCGAGTACTGCCCATTACCTGTATCCTGAGGCTGCCAAATATCTGTATATAGAGGACTGCCCATTACCTGTATCCTGAGGACTGCCCAATATCTGTATATCGAGGACTGCCCATTACCTGTATCCTGAGGCCTGTCCACTACTTGTATCCTGAGGCCTGCCACCTACCTGTGTCCTGAGGCCAACCCACCTACCTGTGTCTTGGGGCCTGCCCACTACCCCTATATGAAGGCCTGCCTACTATCTGTATATGAAGGCCTGTCCACTACCTGTATATTAAGGCCTGCCCACTACCTGTATATGAAGGCCTGCCCACTATCTGTATATGAAGGCCTGTCCACTACCTGTATATTAAGGCCTGCCCACTACCTGTATATTGAGGCCTGCCTACTACCTGTATATTAAGGCCTGCCCACTACCTGTATATTAAGGCCTGCCCACTATCTGTATATTGAGGCCTGCCTACTACCTGTATATTAAGGCCTGCCCACTACCTGTATATTAAGGCCTGCCCACTATCTGTATATTGAGGCCTGCCTACTACCTGTATATTAAGGCCTGCCCACTACCTGTATATTAAGGCCTGCCCACTATCTGTATATGAAGGCCTGCCCACTATCTGTATATGAAGGCCTGCCTACTACCTGTATATTAAGGCCTGCCCACTATCTGTATATGAAGGCCTGTCTACTACCTGTATATTAAGGCCTGCCCACTACCTGTATATGAAGACCTGCCCACTATCTGTATATTGAGGCCTGCCTACTATCTGTATATTAAGGCCTGCCCACTACCTGTATATTAAGGCCTGCCCACTATCTGTATATTGAGGCCTGCCCACTACCTGTATATTAAGGCCTGCCCACTATCTGTATATTGAGGCCTGCCCACTACCTGTATACCGAGGACTGACCATTACCAGTATCCTGAGGACTGCCCAATATCTGTATACCGAGGACTGCCCAATATCTGTATACTGAGGACTGACCATTACCTATATCCTGAGG